TCAATAATAGATGAGGCTGCCTCCCTCCTCCTCCCACAGTCATGAGCGACCATCATATCCACCATCCAAACACACAATCATTTCTCCGTCACCTCCCTCCTTCCCGTCCCGTCCCATCTCCTTCTCCCTCCACCCCCTCCACCTGCCTCCCAAACCCACGCAATATCATAAATGTACGACAAAACGACACACTATACGCTACACGACAGCTTCGAGACTCTGCCGCCGCCACCGCTGCTGCAAAACTGCTCGTAAACAGAAGACGCAGCATCTGAAGGTCCCGTGATACATGACTTCCATTATCAACAACGAACGGCTTGGCCCTGTGCGCTCAACATCACCATTACCTCCATCTCCCTCCCTCTCTCTCTCTCTCCCTCCCTCCCTCCCTCTCCCTCCCTTCCTCCCTCCCTCACTTCATGAATGATGGTGTTGTTCTAAAAGGCGACTAATGCACCTTGATAAATGTATTCATGACTGCAGCAAGTAAAATGTTTTCAGAGACCCTTCCTGTGGGTACTGGCACTATTCCAGGTCCTCCTTCGTGTAGTAGTGTTGTGTTAATGGTTTAGCGCCCCCTCCCCCTCCTCCTGCCTGGGTGGTAGTCGAGTATCTAAATGTTCGATCATGTTGCTTTCCTATTACATTAAACCCTAATATCCTGATACTTTAGATACCTTAATACTAAACACTAATATCCTATTACCTTGATGTCTGAGTAACCCTAAACACTAAACTGCGGTGGCTGGGTAGTTACAGCACTCACGTCTCAACCTAAGAGTCCACTATTTCGATCTCGGGGCACTGCCAGTCCACCCACCTGTAGGAGTACCTGACTTTATAAGCTGGGGATGTGATGGTGGTTGAGTGTAAGGCCAGACACGCTCCCGCCTTGTGTACCAAAGCCCGGTATAGTGAGCTGTATCCACACACCTCATTATGGGCCAAGTGTCACCCTAAATCCTCAAATGTCAATAATTTAGTAACTTAATAATCAATTATCCTAATGTTTTGTGTTAATTGTTTTTCTCGCAAATTGATCGACTAACTGACTGACCGACCGACTGACTCAGTACTGCATCAAAAATAACTGTTCAACCTAAGGCAATCACCCGACTGTACCGACCTCCCACTGTGACACCTTAAAACTCTCATTGGGAGCAACGCTTGACCAACTATCAGCACTGTCAGACTAACAGACTGACTGACAAGCAGCTACATGGCGTGTAGTGACCTCTCATTTATACAGACACTGTACAGAGAGAGAGCAATGGTTGGGAAAGTTATGTGTGGGAGAGGAGGAAAAGTGTGGGAGGCTGGGGAGATGGCTGTGTGGGAGAGCAAGAGTGTGGGAGAGAAGAAAGAGTAGTGTGGGGAAGGAGTGTAGAGGGTTAGCAGAGGGGAACACATACCTAGGTAAGAGAAGGTGAGAGGAGAGGGATACATGGCCAGGTAAGACAGAGTGAGGAGAGGGATACATGGCCAGGTAAGACAGAGTGAGGAGAGGGATACATGGCCAGGTAAGACAGAGTGAGGAGAGGGATACATGGCCAGGTAAGACAGGTGAGGAGAGGGACATGGCCAGGTAAGGCAGAGTGAGGAGAGGACACATGGCCAGGTAAGACATGTACAGGCAAGGAGAGGAGGATGCATGGCCAGGTAAGGCCAGAGTAAGAGGAGTGAGGAGAGGGATACATGGCCAGGTAAGACAGAGGAGGGAGAGGGATACATGGCCAGGTAAGACAGAGTGAGGAGAGGGACAGACAAGGAGTGAGAGAGGGATACATGGCCAGGTAAGACAGAGTGAGGAGAGGACACATGGCCAGGTAAGACAGAGTGAGGAGAGGGACACATGGCCAGGTAAGACAGAGTGAGGAGAGGACACATGGCCAGGTAAGACAGAGTGAGGAGAGGGATACATGGCCAGGTACATGGCCAGGTAAGACAGAGTGAGGAGAGGGATACATGGCCAGGTAAGACAGGTGAGGAGAGGGATACATGGCCAGGTAAGACAGAGTGAGGAGAGGGATACATGGCCAGGTAAGATAGAGTGAGGAGAGGGATACATGGCCAGGTAAGATAGAGTGAGGAGAGGGATACATGGCCAGGTAAGACAGAGTGAGGAGAGGGATACATGGCCAGGTAAGACAAGGTGAGGAGAGATGTGTACTAACTCCTTCATTTATTAATTCTTTCTTATATATTTCCTTTCTCACTCTATCTTTCTTCCTTCCTCAATTAGCTCATCCTAATTAATCTATCTCATCCACTCGGTAATTACCATAATCAATCAATCTATCAAACCATCCATCCATCAATCAATCAATCAACCAATCAATCAATCAATCAATCAACCAGTCAATCAATCAAACCATCCATCCATCAATCAATCAATCAATCAATCAACCAATCAATCAACCAGTCAATCAATCAAACCATCCATCCATCAATCAATCAATCAATCAATCAACCAATCAATCAGTCAATCAAACCATCCATCCATCAATCAATCAAACAATCAATTAACCAATCAATCAACCAGTCAATCAATCAAACCATCCATCCATCAATCAATCAATCAATCAATCAACCAATCAATCAATCTCATTCACCCAGTTAATCACTCTATTATCCAACACCTATAGACGCTCACAGTCAGAAGAAAGTCACATTACTACACGAGGATTGTCAAATGTTAGAACGTTAGATTTGGTTAGGTTTATGTTAGAATGTTTGGTTAGTGTTAGGTTTATGTTAGAATGTTTGGTTAGTGTTAGGTTTATGTTAGAATGTTTGGTTGGGTTAGGTTTATGTTAGAATGTTTGGTTAGGTTAGGTTTATGTTAGAATGTTAGATATGGTTAGGTTTATGTTAGAATGTTTCGTAAGGTTAGGTTAGGTTTATGTTAGAATGATAGATTTGGTTAAGTGTATTTTAGAATGTTAGATTTACTTAGGGTAGGTTTATAGAAGAATGTGGATTTATAAAGTTTGTTTTTACCTTTATATAAAAAAGTGACTACTCATATAAAACAAGAAACTGTTATATAAACCTAAATAATTAAACAATCAATCAATAACTATATAAACTCCCATAATCAAACAATCAAGGAGAGCTAAAACAGTGTCTCTAAAACACCAATAAACACACAAACAAGATATATGTAGTATTAGTAGTAGTAGTAGTGGTAGTAGTAGTAGTAGTGGTAGTAGTAGTAGTAGTCGTAATAGTAGTAGACTTAAAATACTCAATAAACAAACGTAAACAATAAAAACAAAGGTTGAAAGATTATGCTCCTAAAACACCAATTTAAACAAACAAAACAAGTAAAACAAAACAGTAAACAAATAAACAAACATAATAAAACCCTTTATATCTTTAACAAAAACCTATGGTAGTCCCCTGTAAAAAAATATATGGTAGTTACCTTTTTAAAATCTACGTAAAATTACTATATGGTAATTCCCTTTAAACCTGTAATAAAAAAACTGTATATAATTCTTTTCGGTATACAAAAGGAGACACTATGGCCGGTATACTGTGTATTCTACCGCATTCTCTACCTCAATTGTACAGTTAGGTACCTATTCACAGCTGGGTGACCTTGGGGTCCTCTAGCTGCAAACCCCTGATTACTTAGGTTAGGAGACGAATAATGTGTCCACTCAGCCGACTATGGTAATGTTCATTGAAAAAGACTATGATAATATCCTTTAAAACTCAACAAACAAAATAAAATCGAAAAGGAAATCCTGTGTAATGTTGCCATATAAAACATAAACCATCACACAGATAACTACACTTAAACCTGCCTTAAAACACTAAACCCCACCAAAGAAAAAAAGAGTGGCCCGTTTTGACGACCGCCTCTGACGTCGTACAACTATCAATGACGTCATATCCGGCCCGTTTGGTGGATGTCGTGCGTGAATCGGGTAACGTCTGCTGCAGCCTCTTTCTATCATGCCGGTCGACGCTGGCGAGATAAACCATTTTCATCTCGCTCGTCCATACGGAAAGCAGCGGTGCCTCACTGTATGATGTTAAAATTAGTTAAAGAGTCACATTAAAAATTTAGCTTAGTAACGTACACCATAGAGCGTCGTTAATGTAAATATATCGGGGAGGTTGACACGTAACACACCAATTCCTTGATTATTTTTTCGGGAGTTGATGGTGATGTCCTCCAGGTCCGATATGACAAGTAAATGGTTTGTGTTATATACAGGCGAGGTTCAACACTATGCATACATTATCGTAAGAACAACACGTGTTTTGTTTCTATAATATATCACATATTTTCGCTCTAGTGTACCATGTGTGTGTGTGTGTGTGTGTGTTTTGGTTGCAGCTCTCCTCTCAGCGTGATAACGAACCAGGTAATCACACGCGATCGCAACGCTAATTTATATCTATTGTCTGAGTATATGACAACAGTTTATAACAGCCGTGAGAAGTGTGTTTACGTCTTACTTACGAGAAAATCACATCCTACTTTTGGGGGCGTGAAGACACATAATAAATGACAAGTCAAATACCTGAGACAAGTGGAAAACAAAAGATACATAGCTAAGACTTCTGTGAAAACTTAAAACAATTTCCTTAAGACGCTGAGGTTTCACTGCTCTGTTAATTTACTTGGAGTCAAGAAATAATGGATATTTTGTCATAATAATATTCCTGTCATCAAATTCCTTTACTGCAAGACATTTTAATAATGATATTACCTCCTGGCGGGGAAGTAAGCACACACAAGTGGTTGGGTTCTGGTAGTCTTGCTGTGGGAGTCGTGTCAGATTCTTTATCACAGACACCAGGTATCTCTTCGGCAACATACACACACACACAAACTAGCCTTGCAATAATTTTTTGATAACTATCCTATAGGCCTATATAAAATATTATCACTTATTATACAACAATTGGTCGAAAAAATCACAAACTGACAAAAAGAGTTAATACGTGACCTCATTTGTCGTCACACACAAACACACACAGACGGCATGCATGGGTGACGGCAATATCCTTTAGCTAAAACTGGACGAGGAGTGCAAGAAGGAGAGACGTGCTTTATACCGCACTGACCGTGGGTGTCGCAGACGGAGGTGAGGGGCGGGGGCGGCGAAGGAGACGCCCTACCGCCCACTCCTGAGGGCGGCACCAGGGCAGGTCCCGGAGACTCAGGTGAGAGCGGTCGATCTGTTGGAGAGGTGCTGGTGAGATGTATGCTGGTACTGAGGGCGTGGTAGAGGTACCGAGGGCGTGTTAATGGTACAGGGCGCGTGGTAGAGGTACTGAGGGCGTGGTGGTGGTACTGAGGGCGTGGTAGAGGTACCGAGGGCGTGGTAGAGGTACCGAGGGCGTGGTAGAGGTACCGAGGGCGTGGTAGTAGTACTGAGGGCGTGCTAGCGGTACTGAGGGCGTGGAAGTGATGCTGGGGACGTGGTAGTGGTATTGAAAGCGTGGTAGAGGTACTGAGGGCGTGGTGGGTACCGAGGCGTGGTAGAGGTACTGATTACGTGGTAGTGGTACTGAGGGCGTGGTGAGTGCCGAGGGCGTGGTATAATGGTACAGGGCGCGTGGTAGAGGTACTGAGGGGTGGTGGTGGTACTGAGGGCGTGGTAATGGTACAGGGCGCGTGCTAGAGGTACTGAGGGCGTGATGGTGGTACTGAGGGCGTGGTGGTGGTACTGAAGGCGTGGTAGAGGTACCGAGGGCGTGGTAATGGTACAGGGCGCGTGGTAGAGGTACTGAGGGCGGTGGTGGTGGCACTGAGGGCGTGGTAATGGTACAGGGCGCGTGGAGTGATGGTGGTACTGAGGGCGTGGTAGTAGTACTGAAGGCGTGGTAGCGGTACTGAGGGCGTGGAAGTGATGCTGGGGGCGTGGTAGTGGTATTGAGGGCGTGGTAGAGGTACTGAGGGCGTGGTAGTGGTGCTGGGGACGTGGTAGAGGTGCTGAGGGCGTGGAAGTGATGCTGGGGGCGTGGTAGAGGTGCTGAGGGCGTGGTAGCGGTACTGAGGGCGTGGAAGTGATGCTTGGGGCGTGGTATTGGTACAATTGTGGAAATGTGTTGCTACACCCCCTGTGGTAACCCATGTCACCAAACGGCACCGTCGCAGTAGTAGTAGTATCACTTAATGAATGAATGGGTATTGGTAGTGTAACGACGGACGTGATTGGTGGATAGGTTTGCTATAGGTCATATAGGTTGGCCCTTTGGAGACACGGGTTATCACAGGGGGCGTAGGAACACATTTCCGCAGCTGTACAAACAATATGGTATTAGTAAAAAGGGCATGACACCGTTACAAAGGAAGCGGAGAAGGTGATATCCCAGCGGTACTATTGGCATAATATAGCGTTCGTGGGCGTTATAAGCGCGGAACTGGGAGTGGGAGTATGGGCGTGGCAGTGAAAAAGGGGGCGTGGCAGTGAAAAGGGGGGCGTGGCAGTGAGAAAGGGGCGTGGCAATGATATAGAGAGCGTGGCAGTGAGGTAGGAGCGTGGCAGTGATATAGGGGCGTGCAGTGATATAGGGGCGTGACAATGATATAGGGGCGGGCAGTGAGACAGACGATGTAACAGTAGGACCGATGGGATATGAGGTGTTAATGGGGTCAGGAGGCGTGGTGGTTGGTCAGGAGGCATGATAATGAGGCAGGATGGGTCATGGTGGGACAAGGAGGCGCGGTAATGGGACAAGGAGGCGTGGTGGTGGGACAAGGAGGCGTGGTAATAAAACTGACAGGCTGACAGACAGTGACCACAATTATAAATATTTTCCTACTAAAAATAAAATTACCACATTGTAATCAGTATAATTAATTAACACTTTTCACGCGTCAGGTAGGATCAATATATCTGTCTGTCTGTCTAAATTACTAAATGTATGTAGGGTCATTTTCTAAACTCTATACCTGCACTGTATATTAAAATGCTGAACCAAAGTAAAGTTGTATGACGATTTTACTGAATAAATATTTCTGTCAATGTACTGTCAGTGTACCTGTGTTTGTGTGTGTGTGTGTGTGTGTGTGTGTGTGTGTGTGTGTGTGTGTGTGTGTGTGTGTGTGTTTACGTGCATGTTAGCATATTGCTCTGTATGTGTTTATTAATGCGTATATGTACATGCATTTTCATTTGGATAGGTCTATGTGCGTATATGTGTGCGCGTGTGTGTGTGTGTGTGTGTGTGTGTGTGTGTGTGTGTGTGTGTGTGTGTGTGTGTGCGTGTGTGTGTGTGTGTGTGTGCAGGTGTATTCTGTACTTGTTCGAGTGAATGATGATTTTCATTATGTACCTATATATGTATATCTGTGTGTGAAGACGTGAATGTGTGTGTGTGTATGATCGTTTACTGTATGTATAATGTATGTGAGAAAGAGAATGCTTGTATATTACAGGTCATGCTTGTGTATAAATGTGTGTATGCTGTAATTCATATGCTTGTATAATCAATCACAAATATCTGTCTTAACTATGTGTATACAAGTGTGTATTAACGGAGACACGCAGCATCATACAAACCCCACAATACATTTTCCATATAATTTAATTCATAAAAAAATATAACCTCTCCTTCATAAATTTATTCATGTGAAAAAAAATCACATTAAATACAACTTGAAATGAATAAGTCTTATATTATTCACATACAATGAAAATTATAATTATATCAAAAGTAATGCAATAAATATAATGAAGATAATTAAGGTAATCCCCCCAACATTAATTATCTTTGAAGGTGATGCAGGAATAAGATGCTAATTATCTCTAGTTAAAATAGAATAATCAAGATAAATTATACACCTTGAATCCTCTCATTATAGAAGTAAATAATAAAATGCAATGTAATATAAACTAACAAAATAATCATGTAATGTAAACAAAGAAAAGTAATTAAGCATCAATAACAACAATTAGTTAATTTATCGTCACACACAACTACAATTATCAACAAACTTATCCCACCTGCCACACTTCACAAGATAATTTACATAATCGTATTTAGGCTTTTAAAATTTGAATATCTCTAATACTCTCAATTACAAACACATAGTATTCCTTTTGGGTCTAAAATCATGGTATCTTAATTAATTATTATTATGTTAACATTTAATCGGTAATTCTTCAGTTCTTTAACAATTTACAAATGAAGAATTTAACGCAGCTCTACATCAAAATAATTACAACATTGAGTGAAAATACTGTGTTATTTATTATTATATATTAATTCTATTAAAATCAATGTCACTGGCGGATCAATTTGCTGGTATTTTTTATAGTATCCAATTACTAGTGACAAGCCAATCTAATAGATAGATAGATAGATAGATAGATAGATAGACAGATAGATAGATAGATAGATAGATAGATAGATAGATAGATAGACAGATAGATAGATAGATAGATTATCCATCTTTCTCCTTTTTCCATCTTTAACCATCTTTCTCCCACTGTCTACATACCTGTCTCCTTATTTCTCTACTTCTCTCTATGTCTCTTCCATGAGGTAAGAGAGATGCCTACAGTGAGACAAGCAACTGCTGATAGTATTACCGACTGTCTGTCTTACCTTAACTAATACCTTTGTTAATAATGTAAAAACTTTCGAACAGTGTAATGACAATTGAGTCTCGGTGAATTACAGTGCATATAGACCCTGGCCGCTGAAACCTTTCAATACTTTACAGCAACAATTATTGTAACGCGACAAATAAACCAGCGTGTATATTTTTTTTATAGTTGTTACCATCGTCCTGGTCGGGCTTGGCACGGGAATGCCAGGTTAGATAACTCACTGGACTAAATCCCACCATTAAAATTAAACAGCGGACAATTCTACCACACAATATTTGACTGAACAAAATCCCACCGCCCAAATTATAAAATGTGCAAAATCGGACCACCTCAAGTTTCTTTGTCCTAATTCTGTGTTGAGGGAGGTGACTGGTGGGTGTGTCCAACAACCCATGAGTGAGACTTAGTGGTCACTAGCCAGATCTAAGACTAAATGATATGTTAAGGGCATGACCGTGCCATAAAGACAGCGCCAGTATGAACAATCAACAGCGTCTGGCGTTAGACCAGGCGAACGTTTACCTCTGGAAGTAATGCATTTTCATGCTATAAACTACAGGTAAAGATAGATAACTTGCCTGCGTCGACGAAATGACATACCTAGTGCGTCCAACCTCTGGGTGGTGGGCGGTGGGTGGTGGTGGGAGCCCTGCAGGAAGGCGCGCCACAGCCCCTCGGGCGTCGTGGGAGTTCGCTCCTCCAACAGGGACGCCGTGTCCTTGCCCAGGCCGCCCGTACTCATGGACAGCATCTTGAGGGGCGCCTCGCTCGACATGAGGTCCATCGTCATGTTGAAATCAGTCGTTCTCGCCTCTCTGATGGATGCTTGAAGGACACCGATGATGGCAGACGAGTACCTGTTCACTGGGCACCTTGTGTTAGCAGGTAGAGGTTGACCCCTTAACCATCATAGTCTGTAATAGTCACCGGTAGTCAAATAAAACTTTGCAAGAGGGCGTGTGAGCTGCACTGATCACAGCGAGGATGCTGGCACCGTCACACGAGCACCGCCCAATTTGTCGACTGATCTTCAGCATCATCTGTCTTGCTTCTCTCGCATCCCGGGCAGCTGGAGTGCCAGTTACCCTCCGCTCACTATACATTTTGTATCAATTTCCGCTTATTCACAGCTGACTTACGATTTTTAATTATTAACTTTAACTTTATATACAATTCTTACTTAGTAGGTGTTTTTATCAAGACATTAATTTACGATAACTTTATCTAAATACTAAACAAGTAGTTGACAACTATTCAGGAGGCTATGATTGGCTGAGAGTATCGAGAAAACCAGGAACCAGATTGGTGCTCCCGGGCGAGGGGCGGCCTCGATAATCTAGTCCAGTGAACACTAGCAACGCAACATTTGTCTCATAAACACAGACGTTATCTTAAACCGAATCTATCACTACAAGTTTAACAGAATATACAATAAATCATCCGTGTATCGATATCCTTTACATTCTTCTACTACAACGCATTTTGTTTTTTAAATCCATTAGAAATAGACTAGTGTGCAGCTCAGGTCAAGGAGGCGGGGCCGGAGATAAGTGGCGTTATTGACATTTTTACTACCCCCGTTTGGAATGCAATTTAGGAAGGAATTGGGCAATTTGGTAAGCCGCCTATCCGGTGTATGCCTAAGCGCCCGTGATGGAACAAAATGAGGGTGGGAAACCATATTTTGCTTTGAATTAAGGCACGGAACCGTCTCCTATAAGGCTTGGAGTGGTGACGCTGTGTGTCGGCTTCGGGAAATTAGGTGCCATATGCCCGATTTCTCCTGGTCAGAATTTTGCGAGATATTTGGTCGTGTTTAGCGAGATGCTGAGTGGCATCTTAGCGTCGGGGCGAGCATTAACATAATCGATCCTTCACGGTGTAGCTGTGTTGCCAGTGGCGGCGACGAGAAGAGGAGGTGATGTGGGAGGGAGAGAAGGATTTTGAATGACGGAAGGAACAGGGAAGAGTTAGATAGACAAACAGCGAGAGAGAGAGAGACTGTAGAATGACAAGTAATGTGAGACTGAATGAATACAATGCATCATATCTCTACAGTACATCATGACCCTCAACCTAATCTAACAGTTGAAATAATATGAGGTGTCTAATATTTTTAAATGATCTACTACTTCATGATTCATTTTTGCACAAAGAACAACATCCCTGGGGCGGCGTGTGTGGCATGAACTAACACTCTTCTGGGTTAGTTTGTTGATCGGTGACCAGAGGAGGACAAAGTGGTGAAGTAGACCTGTATTAGGGAAGGTTGTAGATGTTAACATTAATTCATGAATAACAAGACTCCACCAAGACGCGCCAGAGACTAACCATCATCCATCTTCCAATCTGTTTAACCCGATAACTGTGATGGTAACGCTGACGGGCTGGTGGCAATAGTGATTAGTTAAATAGCTGATAATAGTATACTTAATTTCACGTGTGGATTAGCGGATTGCAGTCACTATTTTCTAGTGTCTGAAGTGAACTACAAGGAAAGAGAAGTGAAAATTAGCTATATAAGAAGAATTGGATACACACACACACACACACACACACTTACAAAACAGAGATTAAATTGCAAAACACACGTGATAGACCAACCTACCTTGTTGTTTACTTTGACTATTTACAATGTTAACCTTCTATGAGGCCAGACTATTGATGCAGCCTTCACTTCCTCTACGTGATCGTGTGGGCCATAAAAAAAGTTAAGAAAAAATCAATATATTTTCGTGATATTTATATAAGTTTATTTTGAAGGTAAGTTAGTTTATATATACATCATTACTAAAAGAATAAGCCTGTATGTTAATAAATGTTAAAAAGGAAAGCCTACATGTTAACAATTGTTGAAAAGATGAACTTGTGTGTAAGTAAGTGTTAAAATGTGGAGCCTGTGCGTCAGTCACTGCTAAGAGGTGTAATCTGCACGTGTCACTACTAAGAGGGTCAAACCTTCTCGTGTCATTGCTAAAACACTCAATTATACACACGTTATTGCTTAAGAGGCCGACCTGCCCGTGTCAACGCTCCTAAGACCTGTTAAGGCATTTACAAATTGAGATGATTTAGTTGTTGTCGCTGATGCCAGGTTTACAGCGCCCCCCAGCCACTAGACACACCACACCCTCACAATCAAAGCAAAACCAAGATTATCTGTAGTCACAAGAGTCATTATCACGTATCTTAAAAAGGGTATTTCGCCTTTATGGGAGTAAATAAGAGGCTTCGTTTTCCATTGTATTGTGTCCAACGCCCACCACCCTGACACCTTCCATGGCAAAATGGTCTTATTGATGATGGATTGTAAAGGTTAAATTTTTGATGAGGGCTCCTCTCTCTTCGCACAGGTGACCCTCTGTCTCATCACACGATAATCTAAACCTTATGGTGATAAAGTTTAAAGGTCAGAGTAGTAATTCTTACCCCCACCGTCTTAAGCGAGGCGGAACAGAGCACACATGATAGCTCAGACTGACGACAGTGACAACCCACCGACACTCACTGGTTCAATAAAAGGCAAAAAGGTTCATCATCCCACTGCTTCTCTACACAATAAGAGCCAAACGGCCCCCTTGATGCCCTGGGACCACCCCGACCCGCGTCCTGTGTACACTTCTCATTTAACAAGCAATCACAATGGCAGTCTCATTTCTCAAGGGGAGGTGCTAGCCAACCTGTATCAATATAAGCACCGATTAGTGTGCATTACGACATGCTGGTCGTGATAGGTAAGGTAAACAGGCCCTCCCTCGCCTCCCATTACTGCTGGTTAGAGCCCGGCCCTTGCACCCACACCCCCGCTAACTGGACACCCACACCACCGCTAACTGAACACCCACACCCCAGCTAACTGGACACCCACACCACCGCTAACTGGACACCCACACACCCGCTAACTGGACACCCACACCCCCGCTAGCTGGACACCCACACACCCACATCTCCGCTAGTTGTACACCCACACACCCACATTTACGCTAGTTGTACACCCACACACCCATATCCCCGCTAGTTGTACACCCACACACCCACATCTCCGCTAGTTGTACACCCACACACCCACATCCCCGCTAGTCGTACACCCACACATCCGCTAGTTGTACGCCCATACCCTCGCTAGTTGGACACCCACACACCCACCTACCTTAACCACACGCCTACCTACACGCTCGCTAGCTGGGCACCCACGAATGCCTTCCATATTCACGCCCACCAGTCAATCGTACGCCCACACATCAGCAAAACAACCACCACATGCACTCACACACCTACAACCCACAGCCCACATCCTACACACTCACACACCCACAACCCACACACTGATAACCCAAACGCTTTCAACTCACACGCCCACAGCCCATACGCCCACATCTAACCGCTTTGGATACTCCACTATGAACACTTGCCGTATCTACTGTAAGAAAACATGACAAACTTACACTGTGGTCGAGGTTGAGCTGTGGAAGACGAGGAGTAATGAAGGATGACTTGTACAGAATGAGTTGTAGAACCTGACGTGTAGAGATGAGTTGTGAAAGATGAGATGTGGAGAATGAGTTAGGAGGATTAGTTGTTGAATTTCCGGTGGTAAATAACTTAAAAAGAATGAGTTGTAGAATGTGACTCGCAGAGGATGAGTTGTGGAGGATAAGTTGCGAGGAGGATGAGCTGCAGAAGATGAACTGTGGAGAATGAATTGCGTCTTTGAGGGTGGGCCAAACTGAGCGGGACTGTCTCCCTGGAGGGCGCCAGTCATTGACACCCGGTAGGTAAGAACATACTAAGTGTTACAATGGGCTCAAGTATGTCGGCCCAAGACCTGCCCGAGGCGTTGACGAAGACGTGGCTCTTACCTCCAGATTACAGAGATCTTATAAATGTGGCGATAGACTGAAATGACATGATAGTTTATAATATACTTGTACACTGAAAGGATAAAGGGGATCACATGAAGAATCTCCACCCTAGCTTATTTCACCTAAGAATTAACAAAACCTAACCTAACTTAACCTAACCTAACCTCATTCCCCAAATGTTAGGGTGGTTAATGCTTAGGTGAAATAAGCTGCGATGGAGATTCTTCAGGTGATCTAAAAAGAGAGTGAAACCAGAGAAAGAAAGAAAGACAAATTACCATAAGTTTTAGTTAATTTAGGAGTTAATTTGAAACTTTTGAGACTCTTAGAAAACTACATACGAACACATCTGATCCCCAAACACCTTATTTCAGCTTTAAATTTCTGTATTTCATATAGAATTTGAGATACAATATTATATAGTACTACAATTCTACTAAGTAACTTATAGATAGTTAAACCAAAATACATTTATAAAAAAAAAGAGCATTGAGTTGGTTTCATGCGTCTACTAAGAAGTATTGAACAACACTGATACAGTAATGTTGTCTGTCTGATTGTTTTTTAGTCAGTTGTTCAGTGTTATGTTTTATTTCCTCACACAGCAACATTCCACGAACTCATTGATTTAATTTAAGGTCGAGTGTGAAGCTCTGATACTCCTCAGGGGTGGTCAAGGGAGAGGTGGGGGGATGGGGAGGTGGGGATGGTGGGAGGTTGGGGATGGGGGGGATGTGGGGGGATGGTGGGGGAGGTTGGGGGATGGTGGGGGGAGGTGGGGGATGGTAGGGGGGTGGGAGGGATGGTGAGGGGAGGTAGGGGATGGTAGGGGAAGGTGGGAGTGGGGGGGTGGGGGGAGGTAACAAGCCATAACGAAGCCACAGCCATAGGACTCACACCGTAATTCATAAGACTCAAAATAAAATAAAATAAATATTTATTGTCACAAAAAATCTTAAAAGACTCACAAACAAAATTCTTTTTCTTATAAACCAAATAATGTTTACGACTTTAATATATAACTGAAAAAAAAGGAAAATAATACCATTTCCTCAGAATATAATAAATATTTAAGGTTTTGAAATATAAAAATTGATTTATTTTAAAACAATAATTTTAGCGAGTCTCTCTCTCTATTTCCCTCTTTC